TCTTGGTGAGAATTTTTGCATCCATCTTCATCAAGGATATTGGTCTGTAATTTTCCTTTTTGATGGGGTCTTATCTGGTTTTGTGATCAAGGTAATGGCAGCCTCATAGAATGAGTTTGGAAGTTTTTGTTCCATTTCTATTTTTTGAAACAGTTTCAGAGAATAGGTATTAGTTCTTCTTTAAATGTTTGGTAGAATTCTGCTGGGAAGCCATCCAGCCCTGGACTCTTGTTTGTTGGGAGATCTTTGATTACTGTTTCAATTTCTTTGCTGGTTATGGGTCTGTTCAGATTTTCTATTTCTTCCTGTTTCAGTTTTGGTCATTTATATGTTTCTAGGAATGCATCCATTTCTTCCCAATTGCCTAATTTGTTGGTATATAATTCTTCATAATATTCTCTTATAATTGTATTTCTTTGATGTTGATTTTGATCTCTCCTGTTTCATTCATGATTTTATTAATTTGGGTCCTTCCTCTTTTCTTTTTGATAAGTCTGTCTAGGGGTTTATCAATCCTATTAATTCTTTCAAAGAACCAGCTCCTAGTTTTGTTAATCTGTTCTACTGTTTTGTTTTTTATTTCTATATCATTGATTTCTGCTCTGTTCTTTATTATTTCCCTTTTCCTACTGGATTTAGGCTTTATTTGCTGTTCTTTTTCCAGCTCCTTTAGCTATAAGGCTAGGTTGTGTATTTGAGACTTTTACTGTTTCTTGAGAAAGGCCTGTATTGCTATATATGTCCCTCTTAGGACTGCCTTCGCTGCAACCCAAAGGTTCTGAACTATCATGTTTTCATTTTCATTTGCTTCCATGTATTTTTAAAAATTCTTCTCATGGCACCTGGGTTGCTCAGTTAAGCATCTACCTTTGGCTCAGGTCATGATTGATACCAGGGTCCTGGGATTGAGCCCCACCTTGGGCTCTCTGCTCTGAAGGAGTCCGCTTCTCCCTCTCCCTCTGTCTGCAATTCCCCCTGCTTGTGCTTACTCTCTCTGTGTCAAATAAATAAATAAAATCTTTAAAAATAAATAAATAAATTCTTCTTTAATTTCCTGGCTGACTCATTCATTCTTTGGTAGGATGTTCACTAACCTCCATGTATTTTCGGTCTTTCCAAATTTTTTCTTGTAGTTGACTTCACGTTTTAAAGCACTGTGGTCTGAAAATATGCATGGAATAATCTCAATTATTTTTGTACTGGTTGAGACCTGATTTGTGACCCAGTATGTGATCTATTCTGGAGAATGTTCCATGTGCACTAGAGAAGAATGTGTATTCTGCTGCTTTGGGATGAAATGATCTGACTATATCTGTTAAGTCCTTCTGGTCCATTGTGTCATTCAAAGCCCTTGTTTCCTTGTTGATCTTCTGTTTAGATGATCTGTCCATTGATGTCAGTAGGGTGTTAAAGTGCCCTGCTATTATTGTATTATTATCAATGTGTTTCTTTTTGTTATTAATTGGTTTATATATTTGTCTGCTCCTGTGTTAGGGGCATAAATATTTACAATTGTTTGATCTTCTTGTTGGATAGACACTTTTATTATGATATAATGTTCTTCTTTTATTACAATCTTTGGGTTAAATTCTAGTTTGTCTGATATAAGGATGGCTACTCCAGCTTTCTTTTGATGTCCGTTTGCATGATAAATTGTTCTCCACCCCCCTTCACTTTCAATCTGGTGGTGTCTTTGGGTCTAAAATGTATTTCTTGTAAGCAGCATATCCATGGGTCTTGTTTTTTTTTTTTTTAATCCATTTTGATACCCTATATCTTTTGATTGGAGCATTTAGTCCATTTACATTCAGAATATTTATTGAAAGATATGAAGTTAGTGCCATTGTATTACCTGTAAGGTCGCTGTTCCTGTAGATTGTCTCTGTTCCTTTCTGGTCTTTGTTATGTTTGGGGCTCTCTCTTCGCTGATAGGATCCCCTTTAATATTTCTTGTGGGGCTGGTTTAGTGTTCACTAATTCCTTTAGTTTTTGTTTGTCCTGGAAACTCTTTATCTCTTCTTATATTCTGAATGCCAATTTTGCTGGATACAGTATTTTCGGCTGCATATTTTTCCCATTTAGCACATCAAATATATCATGCCAGTCCTTTCTGGCCTGCCAGGTCTCTATGGACAGGCCTGCTGTCAGCTTTATGTGTCTACCCTTGTAGGTTAAGGATCTCTTGTCCTAAGCTACTTTCAGGATTTTCTCTTTTTCTTTGAAATTTGGAAGTTTCATTGTTATATGTGGTGTGTTTTTATTGATTTTGAGGGGGGTTCTTTGTGCCTCCTCACTTGAATGTCTGTTTCATCCCCCAGACTAGGGAAGCTCTCAGCTATAATTTATTCAAATAAAACTTCTGTCCCTTTCTTCTGCTCTTCATCTTCTGGGACCCTTATTACCTGGATATTATTTCACTTTATGGAATTGCCGAGTTCTCAGAGTCTCCCTTCATGATCCAGTTGTTGTCTTTCTTCTTTTCAGCTTCTTTATTTTCCATCATTTTGTCTTTTATATTGATGACACTCTCTTCTACCTCATTTATCCTTGCTGTTAAAGCCTCAATTTATGACTGTATCTCAGTAATAGCATTTTTAATTTTGACCCCATTAGATTTTAGTTCTTTTATTTCTATAACAAGGGATTCTCTAGTATCTTTTATGCATTTTCCAAGCCTAGCTACTATCTTTATAATCATTATTTTAAATTCTAGTTAAAGACACATTACTTATATCCCTTTTGATTAAACGCCTGGCAGTATTACCTCCTGTTCTTTTTTTTGGGGGGGGGGTGAATTTCTCTGTCTAATCATTGTGTCCAGAAAAGAAAGGAGGATAGAAAAAAAAAAAAAGAAAGAAAGAAAAGAAACCAGCAAAAACAGCAATATCGACAACGGTGACAGCGACAACAACAACAAAACCTTCAGGAAGTGCTTCTGGTGTATGCTGTGTACAGTCTGCTATTGTGTTTTGCCTGCTCTTTCCCACTGGTCCTTCCTCTACAGAGTTCCTACTTGCTTGTAGTGGGGGAGTGTTTGCACCTTTATGAAGGTGTGCTTTGATTTGCTTGTCAAGATAAGCCTCACATGTGCCACATTCTCTCCCTCCAACTGTGTAGATTGTTTCCTTAATCCTCAGATCATCTTCCTCATTGTTTAAAGTAGTTGAATTTTGGTCTAGTTGTATTTGAAGGGCAAGGCAATTTCATGGTCCCCCTACTGCTCCACCAGCTTAACTCCACCACTCTGCTTGCTTTTCTATATAATCTGTCTCACCACATTAGGACTATTTTCCATGCCCTACTTGACCCAGACCTACATTCCCCATACTCTTGAGCATGCCAACACTTAGAAAGAGGGTCTGACTACTCCCTCTTCCTGAAGTCTGGATGTCTTTGGATACAACATTGTCAAAATTCTAAGGTATAGAGACTGTAGGAAATATTCATAGATGGGGAGAATGGAGGCACAGAGAGATGAAGTAAATTAACCAAGATACAAAGCAAGTAAGTGGCAGAGCTCAGGACTTCTAATTTCTAGTGTAGATATTTGAGGCTAGAATACTATTGCTAACAATCATAAGATTATTATTATTATAATGTTTAAAATGTGTTTATAATTATACCACTATAATTAATTATATAATTATGATAATATTGTTAACAACAGTAGAAATAAGAATAATGTTAATTATAGAAGCTACTATTTCTTGAGTGTTTACTCTGTGCCATATATTGTGCTATGGGTTTTATAAACATCATCTCACTGGATTCCCCAACGAATTTCTGAGTCTGGTATAATCACACATTTTACACATAATAAAACAGGCTTAGTGGGGTAAATCACCTTGTTCTAGGTATATTACTAGTAAGTAGAATTGCCAGAATTTCAGTCAATTTTCAATCTGATTATAAAGCTCATATTGTTCACCACAACACTGTATAAGCTCAGATGTATATCTAAAATACAAACAGATTAGAAAAAATAATTTTAATAAATTATAAGTGAATAAAGGGAAGTCTTAAATTTAGGTTAATAACACCACCAAGAAAAAAGAATTGATCTAAAAGTAAGCTGTGGTTTGACAAAAACTCACAAGAAATAGATATTGGAATAACTTTGGTTGTCCACAAAGCTCAATAGGACCTGTACTGTGATGCAGCTAAAGTACCATCTTCTACAATGGTTTGTTGCAGGATTAGAATAGTGTCCACAGTAAGGGAAGTGAAAATCTTGAGTCTTGGGCTCAGGTTCTGGGCTCTTCAGAAGAGAACTACCAGAATGGGGAAGGAAAAGAAACAAGAGAAAGAAGTGGCCATGTCAATTCTGGAGATTAACAGATTCATGAGGAATCATATCCACCCTCTCCAACTCTCTGAAGGCCTGTCCTGGAAAGGAGGGAGCAGGCTTTTCTTTCCTGTGTTGCCAGAGAAAGAACACTGAGATCAGTCAGTGGGCTAGGAGTTGTTAGAGTAAGGCAGGTTACAGTTCAGAAGGTAAGATTTTCTAATTAAAAACTATTCTTACCATGGAGTAGATTACCTGTTCTTCAGTGGAAATGTTTAAGCAGAGGCTAGAGGAGAACTTTTATTTTTTTTTTAAGATTTTACTTATTTATTTGACAAGATAGCAATAGAGGGAACACAAGCAGGGGGAGTGGGAGAGGGAGAAGCAGGCTTCCCACTGAGCAGGGATCCCAACAGGGGGCTCAATCCCAGGACTCTGGGATCATGACCTGAACCGAAGGCAGATGCTTAACAACTGAGCCACCCAGGCACCCCTAGAGGAGAACTTTTAGAAGTGTTATACTGGAGATTTCTATTCCTGTGATAACTGGGATGGGGTAATTACTAGGTAGAACCATCCCATGTTGACATTCTCTGTGTTTACTTTAAAGGGACCATTTTGAGTGCTCCTCCTCATAAGTCAAATTTGGTGATCTCATCATATATGCTCTAAATGTCTTCCAGTGGCAACTGTTTCTCATCTTCTCTCTCCCCAGGTGTCACCACTGTTCTCACCATGACCACCTTGAGTATCAGTGCCAGAAACTCCTTACCTAAAGTGGCATACGCGACGGCCATGGATTGGTTCATAGCCGTCTGTTATGCCTTTGTATTTTCTGCGCTGATTGAATTTGCCACTGTTAACTACTTCACCAAGCGGAGTTGGGCTTGGGAAGGCAAGAAGGTGCCAGAGGCCCTGGAGATGAAGGTGAGATACAGCAAGGTGGGGGCTGGGAAGCACTCCCTGAGAGAACTGTATTGGAACCAGGAGTGGGCAGCCTGCAGCCTGTGGGAACTGGCCAAGGCTGTGTGCTATTCACTGGGGTCATCAATCCAATTCTCAACTGGAGTGCTTCTTGGCAATGTGGAGTGTTTGCTGGGGGCAAAGAAAAGAGGTATCATGGAGGGTTGATGTCTTGTGATGAGAGACCGACCCTAAGTATGATACTGCTAGAATCAAGGGGAACACATTGTACTTATAAAGCCACCCAGAAAAGTGCACAGTCTCTAGGGCCAACTCTGCCCTTCACTTTTCAGTATATTCCCAATACATTCAAACTAAAGAGATCATTATTCCTTCTGTGTCTCTGCTTAATTTTTTATGCTCTACCTAGACTATTCTTTTCTTTTTTTTCCTGCCTGGTGAAGATCTACTCATTCTTCTTTTTTTTTTTTTCCAACTCATTCTTCAAGGACACAGTTTAAATGCTATTTTCTCTATAGAACCTTTCCAAGAATCTTCCAGATAGTTTTAGCTTTTCTTCTGGTAGGAGGAGGGTGATGCTACTATTAAAATCCTGCATTTGTATTAGAGTTGTTCATCTGCCTCCTCATCAGACTGAACATTTTGAGGGCAGGGGCTTGTCTGCATCATCTTTTTAACTAGCCAGTATTCTTGCACAGCACCTGATTCATAGTAAAAGCTGAATAATTGTTAGTTGGATTGGTGGAGAGATGGGAAGGAGGAAAAAAAGCCAATAAACCAACCAGAGTTGGTAGGAATAAAACATAAATGCTGTGAAATCAAGATTATTGTCCTTGGCTGCTTTAAAAGAGTTCAGATCTCTAGATCTAGATGAAGACTATCCAAAGATGCTAAAAAGAACTGGCAGATGTGGTCCCAGAACCATTCCAGTACTATGAAGAATCATGGAGAAGAGAAAAGATAATGAAGATTTTTCAAACTGGAGGAAAAGATTCTATATTTCATAGAATACAGACTGGTGAGTTGGCAAAATTTTAGAATAGATTTTCACTGTTTAGATAGAATTTATTAAGTCCTTGCTATAAATTATGAAGAAATAAGCATGTTTCTACTAACTATATCTACTCTATCGTAGGAAATTTTGGGGTGGTTTTATTATTATACTTAGTGTAGTTGTTACCTTTTTATTCTTAAAATATATTGATCCATCTAATACTTGATTTGTCATCTGTGAACAAGGTCTATTGACCCATCACACACTATAAAACAAGAAAATTTGTATACTTATCTTACCTCTCACTTTCTCTGTCCTTGTCATTTCCTAACTTTTGTTTTTTATAATGCTATTTCTGCATTGTCAAACTATTTCTGCACTGTCAAGGTTTATAGCATTTACATGCTTTTATGCAGTCATAATTCCTATAGTCGATTAGTCATATTTCTACATTTAAATGGATAAGAGGATTATTTTGAGAAGATAGCCCATTTTCCCATTCATTGCTTAGTTACTCAAGGCTATCATCTAAAAGATTTTTTAAGGCTCATGGGAACCATATTTCCTACTATATTGCATGTATAAAATTATCTGTCAGTTGTTTATACTTGAATTGTAGTTGTGCTGTTGGATAATTCATGGGTCCCATTCTCTCTCTGATGTCCATGTAGACATTAATTGCTATACTCAATTCTATCACTGTTTCTATGAAGAATTTTTTTAAAGATTTTATTTATTTAAGAGAGAGAGAGCAAGCATGGGGGAGGGTCAGAGGAAGAGGGAGAAGCAGGCTCCCTGCTGAGCACGGAGCATGCATCAATACCAGAACCCTGAGATCATGACCAGAGCCGAAGCAAGATGCCTAACCAACTGAGCCACCCAGGCGCCCTTGTTATGAAGACTTGATTTTATGGCCTAGAAGCCCATACAAATGTATATTTTATTTACAAATTCAGTTACTTTACAAGGATATATCTTGATCTGTCTGTATGAATTTTTTCCTAGGACACCATGTGGGTTTTTTTCCAAGTTTTTATTTAAATTCCAGTTAATTAACTATAGTGTAATATTAGTTTCAGGTGTACAATTTAGTGATTCATCACTTACATACAATACCCAGTGCTCATCACAACAAGTGTCCTCCTTAATACCCATCACCCATCTAACCCACCTCCCTTCCCACTTCCCCTCCAATAACCATCAGTCTGTGCTCTATAGTTAAGAATCTGTTTTATGGTTTGCCTCTCTTCCCCACCCTGTGTTCATTTGTTTTGTTTCTTACATTCCACATATGAGTTAAATCATGGTATGTCTTTCTCTGACTGACTAATTTCACTTAGCATAATACTCTCCAGCTCCATCCACGTCATTGCAAATGTCAATATTTTGTTCTTTTTATGGCTCACTAATCCAGTATATATATCAAAACTTCTTTTTTTAAACTTATTTAAATTCAGTTAGTTAACATATAGTGTATCATTAGTTTCTAATGTAGAGTTCAGTTATTCATCTGTTGCATATAATACCCAGTGCTCATTATATCACGTGCCTTCCTTAATGCCCATCACCCAGTTACCAGATCCCCCCACCCTCATCTCCTCCTGCAACCCTCACTTTGTTTCCTTTGTTCAGAGTCTCCTATGGTTTGTCTCCCTCTCTGATTTTGCCTTATTTTATTTTTCCCTCCCTTCCCCTATGATCCTCTGTTTGTTTCTTAAATTCCACACATGAGTGAAACCATATGATAATTGTCTTTCTCTATTGACTTATTTCGCTTAGCATAATACTCTCCAGCTGCATCTACATCATTGCAAATGTCAAGATTTTGTTATTTTTATGGCTCAGTAATATTCCATTTTATATCTATACCACGACCTCTTTATCCATTCATAAGTTGATGGATATTTGGGTTCTTTCCATAATTTGGCTATTATGGACATTGCTGCTATAAACATTGGGGGTGCATATATGCCTTACAATCAGTATTTTTGTATCCTTTGCATAAATACCTAGTAGTGCAGTTCCTGGATCATAGGGTAGTTCTATTTTTAACTTTTTGGCGTACCTCCATGCTGTTTTCCACAGTGGCTGCACCAGTTTGCATTCCCACAAATAGTGTGAGAGGGCTTCCCTTTCTCCCCATCCTCCCCAACATCTGTTGTTTCCTGCTTTGTTAATTTTACCTATTCTGACAGGAGTGAGGTGGTATCTCATTGTGGTTTTGATTGTATTTCCCTGATGATGAGTGATGCTGAGCATCTTTTCATGTGTCTGTTACCCATCTGGATGTCTTCTTTGGAAAAGTGTCTATTCATGTCTTCTGCCCATTTCTTAACTGGATTGTTTGTTTTGGGAGTGTTGGGTTTGATAAGTTCTTTATAGATTTTGGATACTAACCCTTTATCAGATATGTCATTTGCAAATATCTTCTCCCATTCCATAGGCTGCCTTTTAGTTGTGTTGATTGTTTCCTTCACTGTGCAGAAGCTATTTTGAAGTCCCAATAGTTCATTTTTGTTTTTGTTTCCCTTGCCTTGGGAGACATATTTAATAAGAAGTTGCTGTGGCCTAGGTCAAAGAGGTTGCTGCCTGTGTTCTTCTCTAGGAGTTTGATGGTTTCCTGTCTCACATTCAGGTCTTTCATCCATTTTTTTTTTTAAAGATTTTATTTATTTATTTGACAGAGAGAGACACAGAGAGAGAGGGAACACAAGCAGAGGGAGTGGGAGAGGGAGAAGCAGGCTCCCAGCAGAGCAGGGAGCCCGATGCGGGGCTTGATCCCAGGACCCTGGGATCATGACCTGAGCCGAAGGCAGACGCTTAACGACTGAGCCACCCAGGCACCCCGGTATTTCATCCATTTTGAGTTTATTTTTATGTATGGTATAAGAAAGTGGTCTAGTTTCATTTTTCTTCTGCATGTTGTTGTCCAGTTTTCCCAACACCATTTGTTAAAGAGACTGTCCTTTCTCTGTTGGGTATTCTTTCCTGCTTTGTCAAAGATTAGTTGACCATATAGTTTGCAGGTTCATTTCTGGGTTTTCTATTCTGTTCCATTGATCTAAGTGTCTGTTTTTGTGCCAGTACCATACTATCTTGATGACTAAAGCTTTGTAGTATAGTTTGAAGTCTGAAATTCTGATGCCTCCAGCTTTGCTTTTCTTTTTCAAGATTGCTTTGGCTATTTGGGTCTTTTGTGGTTCCATACAAATTTTAGGATTGTTTGTTCTAGCTCTGTGAAAAACGTTGATGGTATTTTGATAGGGATTGCTTTAAATGAGTAGATAGCTTTGGGTATTTTAAAAATATTTGTTAAATACAAAATTTAGGATGGTTTGTTCTAGCGCTGTGATAAATACTGTTGGTATTTTGATAGGGATGGCACAAAATGTGTAGATGGCTTTGGATGGTATAGAACTTTTAACAATTTTGTTCTTCCAATCCATGAGCATGTAATGTTTTTCCATTTCTTTGTGTCATCTTCAATTTTTTTCATCAGTGTTTTATAGTTCTCAGAGTATAGATCTTTTACCTCTTTGGTTAGGTTTATTCCTAGGTATCTTATGGTTTTGGATAAAATTGTAAATGAGATCAATTCCTTGATTTCTCTTCATCTTCATTGCTGCTTCATTATTGGTGTATGGAAGTGCAACAGATTTTATATATTGATTTTGTATCCTATATCTTTACTGAATTTGTGTATCAGTTCTAGTGATATTTTTGGTGGAGGCTTTGGGTTTTCTATATAGAGTATTATGCCATCTACAAGTAGTGAAAGTTTGATTTCTTCCTTGCTGATTTGGATGACTTTTGTTTCTTTTTGTTGTGTGAATGCTTAGGCTAGATGTCCAGTACTATGTTAAATAACAGTGGTGAGAGTGGACATCCTTGTCTTGTTTCTGACCATAGAGAAAAAGCTTTCAGTTTTTCCCCATTGAGGGTGATGGTCACTGTGGATTTTTCATATGTGGCCTTTATTAATGTTGAGGTATATTCCCTCTATCTCTCC